GGTGACAAATTCTGAAGAGTTTTCTTCTAGTTCAGATATTCTTTCTTCTGTCTCACCAAGTCAAGATTTCCCACTGTATTTTATTTGATTTATTGAATTCTTGATTTCTAAAATTTGAGTTTGAGTTCTCTTTGAAATCTCAATCTCATGGGAGAATTCTTGCATGTCATGTATGGATTTCTTTAACTCATGAATTTGTTTCTCATTACTTCTGAGTAATTCTATGATTAATCTTTAGAATTCCATTTCAGGCATTTCATCAGTCTCTTCATCTTCAAATTCTCATAAGGAAGTCTTTCCTTTGGGGGATTAATGTTGCCATTCTTGTTTCTTGAATTTCTGCATTTTATTTTTAGGGCTTGTGGAGATATTGGTTTTCTCCTCTAATTGATTTTATCTTTGATCTATTCATCTGTGGCTTAGTGGAGTGTCTTTTCTTTAGTGAATACCCATAGGTGTGTGCTGGCTGTGGCCAGGGAGTTCTGGTCAGTGCTCCAGGATGGGATAAGAATCCAGGATGACATCCAAGTTGGGTGTGGTAAATCTATTGTCAGCTGCGAAGAGTGTATGATCAACTCGGCTGGCATAATCATACCCTCCCTTCTCTTTCAAGGTGAATAATGCCCTGGGTTATCACACTGTGTATGCAGCACTCACACACATGGCTACTTCAACCACACAAAGGATCTGTGCAGTCTTCATTTGAACTTGGATCCTGCTACATTACCCACCCCAGGCAGTCAGGGAGCTCTGAGCTGTTGGTGCCACATAGTGATTATCCAGTGACCTGGCTGCACTTTGTGCTCTATTGTGCAGTCAGAGTTCCCACTTTTTCAGCACACTAGGCTTCCATAGTCACAGGGTGCAGAGGATCCACTCTGCCACACCAGCCTATGCTGTCCATGGAGATGCAGAGATGTTCCCAGAGTCAGCGGTCTGTGGGTGTTCCACCTTGGTGGTTTGAGCCCTGGCACAGTCTCCAGGCTGTGTTGAGAGGCTGGGGGTACTTCACAGTCTCATGTGAGTTCACAGCCACAAATTATCCTGCCAGCCATACTCAGTGAGTGGGACATGTGGATTTTTCCCTCTGGATCACACGCATGTACAAGAGCCCCCACAGCTGCTACTCATTTCAAAATGGCAGCTCCTCCCTACCTGTTGCTGGCTGGACACACCTAAGCTGCTGTAGCTGCTGCTGTTATCAGGATGGTGCTTTGTTCCTGCCGGTTGCTGGGCTCGTGCACAAGAGCCAGTGCAGCCACTGCTGTCAAAATGTCACCCTCTCCCAGCTGGTTGCTAGATGCCATCGAGGGAGGGTAGGAAGACAGAAACATTCCCTATTTTCACTGGGTTAGGCTGCTATCCTGTTTCCCTTAGGGCTCCAGGCTGAACTCAAAGACAGGGTACTCGGCAAGTTTCTACCTCCAGCAATAATGCCAGTGGCATGGGCTGCTGCACTATGGTCTCACCTCACTGTCTAAAGCTGGCACTTACTTTAGCTCTCAGATATGGGATGGTGTCCCGTGTTGTGTCCGTGCTTGTTGCTGCACATCTACAACTTCCACACTGATCCACAGCTTCCGCTGGATCCTCCAAATCTATATTAGCACAGAGCATCTGTCTTTTTATGAGATACGTCGTGTTCATTTTTGATGAGAAATAAAGCACAAATGCATGTGTTCTCTAAAACTGATTTGCCTTTTGGTAAGATACTAGCTTCAGTCACATTACAATGAGTAAGGCTTTTAATTAATTAAGGTGTCAATATATTGAGTTTTTCTTTATGGAAATTAATGCTGTAGGCTAAGGCTAAGCATTTTCGGTAATGGGACTGGTAGTAAATATTTTAAGCTTTGTGGGCTATATAGTTTCTGCTGTAACAATTCAATTCTGCTTCTGTAGTGCAAAAGCAGCTGTAGAAAATATTTAAACAAAGGAATTTGAGTGTGTCCCAATATAACTTCATTTATAAAAACAGGTCATATTTTGCATCTATCTGATCGAGGAGAAATACCTCTAATAACAGTCTTGGGTTATTTATTCATAAGGGAGAAGTGTTAGAAAAAAATTCCTAAATTTACTTCAAGGCTTTACTTCAGTCAATAGATAGGCCCCTTTATTGTTACATGACACCTAAATTTTGAGTATGTAATTACTATATGTGCACCTGCTGAACTAATAGACGAACACAAAGGAAAATATCATGCAAAGTTCCATCACTCTTACTTAAACATCAGCATTTTTCTTTTTAAATTCAGATTTATGTGCAGAATTATCTTAATGTGGAGTGTGCTGCTATTTTTCCAGGTAAAATTATTAATGTTTTGCTATACTGAAAGTTAAATGATGTTGACAGTAAGCATTAAATTACAACATTATTACCTGGCCATGATTTGGATAAAATGTATTCATCTCTAACTCTTCCTTATGAGAATGTAGAGGAAACAGAAATGTGGATTCTACTCTAAAATAGTGCAAATTCTATTAGGCAGACCCACAACACTGCAAAGCACCTGCCAAGCAAATAATGAAGATAGAATTGAATCAGGTGGCAAGAAGCTGTGAGAATCTAACAGTGTATATGGTGAATACTATTGGGTCAACATTAACTTTGAAATTTTCTCCAAAACTACATCAATTTTCCCCCTATGATTGAAAAAGAATCATTTTTTAAATTGAGTACCAGTAAAGTGCCTCACATTTGAAATTGTATCAGAGGGTTTGCAGGTTTACTGAGATAATAGCACAGAGCACGAATACATACTCTACTTCTGATGTAGGACCTAAAAGGAGTATTGGATACAAACTGCCCATCCTTTGATCCTTCTCAAGCTAGTGCAGGAATGGAATGGTGGCTATAATTCCTAGGAGTGTAAACAATGTTTCTCTCTTTAGCACTTGTCATAAAAATTATGTGTGACAAAACATCTCCGAACTCATTGGCTAGATACTGCAATCATTTATTTATGGGTCACTGTGGTGTTTGCTTATCTATCAAGGCTTGGCAAGAAGGGGCTCAACTGGCCTCAGCTAAGCTCAGTCATGCATCTGTGGAGAAGCAAGGGGTCTGGGGAGCAGCTGATCAGTGTTGGGCACCTGTAAGGGTGATTGTGATCTACATTTCTTCTTCCATCTGAGCCAGTGGGTTGGTCTATGCAGACTTCTCACAGATATGGCAGAGGGAAAGATGGAGCAGGCCTAGTCACTCAAGTGCTTTTAGTGATACTGATCTTTTTTTGCTTGTTTTTAGATTTGTTTATTTGAAAGGCAGAATTACAGAGAGGCAGAGGTGGAGAGAGAGAGGTCTTCCATCACTGGTTTACTTCCCAGATGGCGGCAATGGCCAGAGTTGCGCTGATCCAAAGCCAGGAGCAGGAGCTCCTTCCAGCTCTCCCACGTGGGTGCAGGAGCCCAAAGACTTGGGCCATTTTCTACTGCTTTCCCAGGCCATAGCAGAGAGCTGGATTGGAAGTGGAGCAGCCGGGACTTGAACCGGTGCCCATATGGGATGCCAGCACTGCAGGTGGTAGCTTTACCTGCTACACCACAGCGCTGACCCCTGTGGTTCTGCTTTTACTGTATGTGCCAACATCCAATTGGTTGAAACAAGTCATATAGCTGAGTCCAGTGGCACAGAATCACACCTTGCCCTCAGCGAAAGAAACTGAAAAGTTACGTGACAAAGGACATGAATGCAAGAAAGGGCGAACAATAAGAACCACTAGTTCAACTTAACACAGTTGTATGCTAGAACTGCTTGAATTAATTTCATATATGATACAAAATTAAAACATAAATAAAAATACTCGTGAACTGCTTCAGGTTAAAAGGGGTTAGAAAAACATAAAAGCAGCAGATCTGAAATATTTAAGAAACAGAAACCTATTCTTAAAATTCATTCAGTATCTCAAAGAGGATTTGGTATTTGATTTTAATCTATATGGATAGTATTTACAATTAGAATTTTAACATATATCTATTTATTTTTTAGAAGAATAAATTTCTTACATATAACATAAGCAATATATTGTTATTAAAAGCTGCTTTCATGGCCCATGTTATGACACAGAGGGTCAAGCTGATGCTTGAGACACTGACATCAGTTCAAGGCCCAGCTGCTCAACTTCTAGTACAGCTTCCTGCTAATGGGCCTGGGAAAGCAACAGAAGATGGCTCAAGTGCATGGGCCCCTGCCACACATGTGGGACACCAGGATGGAGTTCTTAGCTCCTTGCTTTGGCCTGGCCCAGAACTGGCACTTGCAGCCGTTGAGGAAATGAACTTGTGCTTGGAAAATACACTTGCATGCGTGGTCTCTCTCTCTCTCTCTCTCTCTCTCCCTCTCTCTCTCTCTTTCTCTTTTTCTCTCTCTCTCTCTCTTGCTCTGCCTTTCAAATAAATACATCTTTTAAATTTTTTTCTAAAACAAAAAATAAGTGACATTGTTTTATGTCTGATAAATCTCATTAACATTTGACTTAATAGAAAAGAGCTTCTCCCCCACCCATCCTAATTCAGAATGTGGTCTAGTACTTTATGATTGCTTTGCATATTAAGCATTAGAAGACAGGAGAATTATAAGGCTGACATTTAATGACAATTGATCATTTTCACAGCTTTAATCAGCAGGTGCTTAAATGAAACACCTTTGATGCCCTTGAGTGCATGAGGGACTGGGACAAAGGCTGTGACTCCTGCCACTGCCTTGGTTCCTGCTAAGGTGCCAGCAGTTCTACCCATTATATTACTTTTGTACTACCTGTGCAAATGTCAACATGGTAAATATGGTGTCTGCAGTCTTTGTATTGTGAAGGCGGCTTTGACCTGCTGGAACTATTCAAAGAATCTTGGGAATTGTGGATAACACTTTGTGAGCCACTTTATCCAAGAATGAACCATTATTTACGGTGGAGTAGTTTATCAAAAATTTCTTAAAGACGTTTGTACTACTGTTTCTAATCATTACACAAATTCAAAATTTGTTATATGTTCTTCCCTAGGGTTGTTTTGTTGGCTTTGATCTGGCACATGCAGTTGGAAATGTTGAACTCCACTTGCATGACTGGGGAGTTGATTTTGCCTGCTGGTGTTCTTACAAGGTACAAACTAGCTAATATATTTACATATTTTATATCACATTGGCATTAATGGAAAAACTGGATCCATGGGCTGCCTGTAAGGATTTAAGTTGCTTCATGTTATTTCTTATATCATTATGTTTTATGATTTTAGTAAATTATTATGTCATATATTAGAATAGTATGAAAACAGTTAAATTCTTGTATTTTTGTCAATATTGAGAACTTATTCCTTCAACTCCTAGGCTGCTATAAAAAAAAAAGTTGAGACATTCTAGAGACAAGCTCCATACTTAGAACTTTCTTCAAATTGATTATATTCTTAGTTTTTGTTGATAATTTGAAATTTCTACAAATGTAAAGATAAATCTTCAAGAATCAACTTGGCATACATATTTGAAGGCAACTTAATTGACAGGAAAATTAAAAATAAAACCTGCTTCATGTGGTGTTTTAAAAATATGATGCTTTTATAATCATTTAAATCTTTTATGACAGATCTAAACAGAATTGGTATCTACTAAGACAAAATTTGACCAAAAAAAGAGTGACAACCATTTATTCTGTTTGTTTTTTAAGATTTATTTTATTTATTTGAAAGAGTTATAGAGAGAGGTAGAGACAGAGAGAGAGGTCTTCCATTGGCTGGTTCACTCCCCAGATGGCCGCAAAGGCTGGAGCTGCGCCGATCAGGAGCCAGGAGCCAGGAGCCAGGAGCTTCTTCCAGGTCTCCCATGTGGGTGCAGGAGCCCAAGGACTTGGCCCATCTTCCATTGCTTTCCCAGGCCATAGCAGAGAGCTGGATGGGAATAGGAGCAGCCAGGACTAGAACTGGGACCCATATGGGATGCCGGTGCCTCAGGCCAGGACGTTAACCCGCTGCGCCACAGTGCCGGCCCCACAACCATTTATTCTTAACATAAATAATCATTGTTTTTCTTTGATCAAAGTGTCCCAAGTTTATGTTTTATGATAAGACTCAAATAATTACCCATTTTGAACTGGCTGAAAGTTGTGATTAAAAAAAAGTTAAATGGCTATATTGTTTATATTTTGTCATATATTCAGGTAAACTTAGGCAATTTAATTCATTTTCTATCCAGTATTTAAATTCAGGAGCAGGAGGCCTTGCTGGTGCCTTTGTTCACGAAAAGCATACCCATACCATTAGACCTGCGTGAGTACCATTTTTAAATTCTTTTTTGGTAATGAACAAGTTAATTTGCATTAATAATATGTTAAATTCACATGAATTCTTGAAGATGCTATCCAATAGGAATCTGGATTGTATTATAATTATTGTAAAATAGTCTATTAACAGTGATATGCTTTATCAGAAATAAATGCTTTCCAAAGGGTTCAATTGGCTGAACAAGAAACTTAATCAATGAAAAAGAAGCGTGAATGCTAAAAATGAGTCACTGCAATCATGTAGAGCAGATGGCTGAATGCAGAGACCACTTGATTTTTTTTCAAAAATTAGACTTCAGAAAATTTCAGATTGCTCACATGATGAATAAATCAAAGGCAGCCAGAGCTGTGCCTAATAGAGCTTTAAATGTGGCATGTTATTATTAAAATTACATCTACCTTTAAAGCTATAAATGTTACATGATGGCTTGTGGGAAATATCTTCTGTCCTGAAAGACTTTATAATCCGTGAAACCTGGAGAAGCTGAACACTGAACAACAGACTGACTATATAAAAAGTAATACTTTTCTATTTTGCAGAAGTCTCTTCCTATTTTAGAGCAAGTATAAACTTAAATGGAATACACCAACAAATTGACACATTTTTATTTGACTGGGGAATTCATAAGTGTTCCTTTATTTTTATCTGGAATGGAGATTAAAATATCATATTCTGGGAAGAAAAGTATTCCTTCCTAGTCATTGTATTGGGATATGTATGGCAAGGAGACTATTTAGGCTCCTAATAGATAACATGATAATGTTTGATGAGTTTAATGAATCTTCAGTCACCAGCTCCAGTATCATCTTTACAAAAACTAAAGCTGAATTAGTAGGAAAGCCTGGTGCACCTCATGCTGCTGAAGATCTAGTCATATAAATCCAAGGAATACAGGATGATTTTCTATAGTGTACTTAATCGTATCAAAACTCCTTCAAGATTTTAAAAATGAAAGAGTGCAGTCTCTTCAGACAGATATTCAGTCAGGCATACATCTTTTTTGAGTATATTGATGTCAGTGCATTAAATTTCTCTGTGTGCCAAAGCCCTTGAGAAGAATATAAAAGCCTATAAGAGGACCATGCATAAAATTTTAAAGTCCTAGTTTTGCCTTTTAGCAAATCCCATTGATAACCTTTCACCTAGCATAATTGTTTTCCACATCTATGGTGTACAAGATGTTGCTTGTTTCTACAATATGACTACCACATTGATCATTCCTCATTCTGTTTATTTAAATTATAATAGAGGATCTGATGTATTATATCAACCCAAAGGGCAAGTGAGTTGGGTGTGGGCAAGTAGTCTACACAGATTCTAGAGAATGCAGTTAGGAGTTAAGCTCTTTGGCCCCTGCACCCGCATGGGAGATCAGGAGGAAGCACCTGGCTCCTGGCTTCGGAACAGTGTAGCTCCAGCCATTTGGGGGGTGAACCAACGGAAGGAAGACCTTTCTCTCCATCTCTCTCTTACTGTCTAACTCTACCTGTCAAATTAAAAAAAAAAAAAAAAAGGATTTAAGCTCTAACCACGTGTTTATTGCACTTCAGGTTTCTCTTTCTCTGCACAAGGAAAAGGAGAATGTATGGATTTTAGTGTGCTCACACCTCTAATTTTCTGGAACCCCAAATCTTCTCGACAATATTTAAATATATGCTAAATCTATGCTCCCAGGAGGTAGATCAGCTGGTAGACCAGATTCACATTGCAGCTTGGTCTCTAGCCGTGGTCTGTAAGCTGAAGAACATTCCTTGATCTCTCAGGGCTCTGACCTCTCACTGAGGACCTCACAGGCAGTTATTGGGCAAATACAATGAGACAATGCACATAACATACTAATCATAGCTCTTAACGTTTGTATGTGATTGATACATAAGGGACTATGTGAATAAAATTGAAAATTTGAGAAATAAAAGAAAAAGATGGGTGGTATTTTTAAATATGATTGGGGCAAGTCTCCTCAGAGCTTTGTTTGATAATTACTTAGTACTTACTTTGTTGACCCCCTGTGAATTTTTGTGTTAACATGCAGATTTTTGTGTTGTGAAGATCATTTCTCCCAACCAGGAAAGATAATCAGTTATGATTTATGACCTTGTGGGGCATTAAATAGTTTGTTTGTATCATTAAGTTCATTGCAGCAGATATTTGAAAAACGATAAATCTCCATTTCTTCACTTCTCTTTTGCATTGGGCTTACATTCTTATTGGTTTTCTCGGTTAGTGAGTTGAATGAGATCTTTCCTGTGTGCTTCATTTTATATTTGTGTGAGACCCATTCATTTAATTTTTTTAAATGTACATTATTGACTTTGTAGCATTTTAACTCTAGCTTTGGAGTCTGAGGGGATTTAAATCAGGCTTGACTTGTGAAGGCTGAATGATAAGAAACTGTTGCTTTTCCACACGTTGCTTGTTTTCTTATAGTCTTGAAGCTTTTCTTTTATTGTGATGTCTATTAATAATTCCAGTGCTGGCTGGCACTGCGGCTCAATATGCTAATCCTCCGCCTGCGGTGCCGGCACCCGGGTGGTTCTAGTCCCGGTCAGGGCGCCAGATTCTGTTCCAGTTGTTCCTCTTCCAGTCCAGCTCTCTGCTGTGGCCCCGGAGTGCGGTGGAGGATGGCCCAGGTCCTTGGGCCCTGCACACACATGGGAGACCAGGAGAAGCACTTGGCTCCTGGCTTCGGATCGGTGTGGTGCTCCAGCTGCAGCACGCCGGCTGCAGCGGCCATTTGGGGGGTGAACCAACGGAAGGAAGACCTTTCTCTCTGTCTCTCTCTCTCACTGTCCACTATGCCTGTCAATAAAAAAGAAAAAAGAAAAGAAAAGAAAAGAAAAATAATTCCAGTGCTACCAATTTCTAAATTTAATTTCTCCTTCAGTTAATGCCTTCGATGTATCTTAGTAAATTGGAGCCCATTAACTAGGGAGAGAATGAAGCAGATTTGCATACAACAAGGACAGCTAATTTCATGTACTCATTTCATTGTGTCTGATAGGAAAATAAATGTTTTGCTAACACTACATATTCCAGTGTATTTTCCTCCGTTATGCATCCACAAGTCAAGCAATACCTGCAGGAAGAGTAGTGCAAGAAGTAATAAGAAGACATGAAAGGCTAAAACATCACACTAAGACTAATTGCATAGCTATTGCATTGATAGTCAGTAAATAAAATGATTTTAAAGGTGGGGAAGGAATTTTTCCTATGAATAATGTTTATAGTTCATAGATCAACTTCAAAAATTCCAGCATGTGTACTGACTCTATTGCCACTTAATAACTGTATTTTGGTCATTAGATCTCCAAGATCAGCTGATTAATTGCATTTAATGAACTTTCCATCACTTATACTTTTTTCTGTTCTATTAAAATTTTAGAGACTAAACACTAAATAGAGGGGTTCTTTTGCTGTTAAGCCATTCACTATTATAACTGAGAACCATATGGGCAACATCAATTCTAGTGGAATGAATGTAAATACTATTGATGTTGTACTTGGTGAAGTACATTTTTGCTTAAAAAAGAGTGACATCTAGTGGCTAAGCATATTATTTCAAATAAATAATATACAGTTAACATTTCTTTTCCTAGTCCAGTCATACTTTAACAAGCATATTAAAGTATAGAAACCTAAAAACCTTTTCTTATTTGGTCATTTGGCTACTTGTTTTTAGTTCAATAATTATGTAACCAAAATCTTCACTAAAGAGGAAGAACATGATAACAGCAGAGATAAAGAGGAGGGGAAGTCCAGATGCATGGTTGAGTAGAATGCTTGCACATCCATCAAGGCTGGGGGAAAATGCATTACAGGAATGTCCATCCCCAGGCTCACAGGCTTTGTGCCACTGGATTGTAAAAGTTTAACGCTCACATCTGGTATATAATTTTAAAAAGTCTTTCACATGATGTTTCCATTAGCAACTGATAGATTACATCTATACCAAGAAATCTCACTTCCTTTTTTTTTTTTTTTTTTGTTCAAATAGGCATTTTGGCCATTGTTCAAAACTGATGACCTAAGACTTTTTTCCTAGAGCCCTTTACCCGTAAAGAGAATAAGTAAATGAAAGGCCAAAGTCAATCTACCGCATTAAGCATCATAACTCAAGCTGGAATTCTCGACTGGAAAATTTAACCTTTTCTTAGCTCAACATCAGCTTTTCTCATTGCAAAGCCATATTCTCATCCTTGTTTTGAAGTTAATGATTATCATAAATTAAGACTAATTATGAATAAATGAATCAATGATTTTTTGGGTATTCCTCTCTCCCCTGTCCCTCAGGCAGCCTTCAGTTCCATCTAAAAGTTGATTATTGTTTTGAAGTATAAAGGCATATACTTTTAATTACATAAATTTAACAATCAGAAATGTATAACTAAAAAACCTGCTAAATAATCTTGAAATTTTTTTAACTTTACCAGTGTTTACAATTCTGTCACATTTGCGAGCTGTTTTTAATCTTTAGATTTTAGGAGATTTAAGAATATCTGAATATTATCCAAAGGTACAGTAAGAGTCCATATGCTGCAACTCAAAATACCATCTCCACCTCCTCTTTTTATTTTTTAAATGGAGGTTCTACTATGAAAACAGGAGTGGACTACAATTGAAGGTGTGCTGTTCCTCACTTTCCATATTGGCATATGGATGCTGCAGATGCCACCATTGTGTTAGATCTCTTGGAAAAACACTCATTTCCCCTGGGAATTTTAGAGTTTTTGTAGATTTTTTGAGCAGCCAAAATGAGGCCCACTGATGATATCTATAAGAAAATGCTATATTTTTTATTTTTTTAATTTTTTAAGATTTTTATTTATTTATTTGACAGGTAGAATTACAGTGAGAGAGAGACAGAGAGAGACAGAGAGAAAGGTCTTCCCTCCGTTGGTTCACTCCCGCAATGGACGGAGCTGCACTGATCTGAAGCCAGGAGCCAGGTGCTTCTTCCCAGTCTCCCACATGGGTGCAGGGGCCCA